TCAATCATCTGGATCATTTTCGCTCTATAACTATAGCTAACAAATAAAGTTTAAAAAGTTTAGAATAGTTACAGACAAATATGATTGGTGAAAATCAGCGTTGGTTGACCGTGGTTTTATACCTTACCGCCTAACCAAATCATAAAGTTTATGTACTCGTTTGACGCAAAATCTAACGTTTTTTAATTTATTAAGAATACATTTTTCGCTTTGACGCATCGTTTAGGAGTTATAGGTAAAAAAAAATAAAAAATCTGACTTTTTTGGATGTAAAAAGTATTCCCTTGGTAACCCACGTTAGGAATTTTGCTTTTACATGTCTAAACCCATATATACAAGTTAAAAAAAATAAAAACTTTTCTCAAATTTTTCTCAATGGATTTCCTGTTTCGATCCTCAAATTATTGGCCCAATATTCTTTAAATCAGCAGCCATTTTTGAAATCAGCGACTCTGGAACGGCAGACAAATTCTTTTTACTCAGAATAACATACACTTTCGTAATTTACAATCAGACTTTCGAGTAGAAATGAAAACCATCTTTTTTATATTTAGAGCATGTTTGCCGGTATTTTTTGTTTAAACTTAATAGTATGTGCTGGGAAGAATTAGGTAATTCTAATGAATCCTAAGAGAGCTGAAACATGTGGTTTTATAAATAAACATAGTTGGTTAAGACTTTTAAAACAATTGCAACCAATTTTGCTCCGTTTCTCAAATCGTCCGAAAAATTAGAAAGACTTAATTATTAACAAAGGTTTGAACTTCTAAAAACAGTTTTCAGTATATCACCCTGGAACTTATTGAGGATTTAACACGCGAGAATATTGAATTTAAAGTGACTATTATTATTTTTTATTTATTTAATTTTTTTTACTAGCCTGATCGAGTTATTATCAATCCAGATTTTGACACAATAATATCTAATTGTCTATACTGACCAAATTGCAAACATATAACGAGTTTAATAGCTAATTGAAAAAAAAAAAAAAAACCAGTCCCTTCAGATCAGCTTTAACGCAATCTTCCCACCTTCACTTCGGTCTACCCCTCGAACGTTTACCATTCGGTACAGCAAATATCAACCTTTTAGGAATTCTCTCGTTACTAAGCCCAACTGTTTTACAAGCCCATTTGATTCTCCGCGATGTAATCACCTCAATTATATTAACTGGATACAGTTGACGCAATTCGGCGTTGTGAAACCTTCTGAACTCTCCGGTTAACTCATCTTTCTTTGGACTTTATTTTCAAAAACCTTAAGACGTTGCTCATCTCTTAATGTAAGTGGCCACGTTTCGCATCTATAAAGAACTGTAGGTAGGATAATGGTTTTATAGATTCTAGTCTTTAAATTCCGGGACAAGATGCGCGGGCTAAGTAGTTTTGTCACAGAAAAATAACAAGCATTTCCCGCCTTCAGTCCAACCTTAATCTCCTCTTCAATTTCGTTTTTTCTAGTTATCGTTGAACATAGATACTTAAACTTCTCTACCTGTTCAAACATGATACCTTCTATATATTTTTCAACTTGCGCCATGAATCCCCTAAAGCAGTCTCCACCCGGAGACCCGAACGGGGGACTAGTATACCTCCGGATAATGAGCGTTTTATCTTAGAGAGATCCATGACTATTTGTGTATGGTGAACTAAACATATGTGAGTAGGGCGGTAACTTTATATATATTTATTATAATAGGCCGTTCTGAAATAGGTAATAAATTATACAATATCTGAGCAATAAATACTGTAGTAGCCTCGGAAGTTGTGTGATGCGTGCACCAGATTTTTTTTGTACAACTCGACTTTTAAAACCTATCGAGTTTAAAAATTGTTTAATGACTTATTATAATTGTGGAAAGAATTCTAAGATCGAAATTGGAATTTGTCTCTTCTCCGTAAAATTTCCTTTCGTTTGATCCCTCATTCATCAAAATCCAAGGAATTTATGAATCGGAAAAGGACACTATGCTTTGTTATCAAATATATTGTAGATAGAGGAAACGATCTTTAATTGTTGGAAAAAGAGATACGATATTTGGAGATGTTGCAACACAACTGCCCCGCCCGAATACTTGACCTATTCGGACAAATGTAGAGCCATCAACTTCTTTTAAAATCTTTGTCCGTCAGTTTTTGTTGCTGACCTTTTGCCTTCATTGAGTAGTGACGAAGTAATTGAAACCTCCCATTGACAGGCCAAACGAGGTCGATGGCTATCATTAACCAATCAGCGAAGTTGTTTTAGTTTAATACCAGGCATCAAATATTCAAAACATAATTGCAAAACTCTAAACTATATGATTCAGTTATACCCAAAGTGAACCTAAATCGATCGAGATGAGTATCGATTTCTACGAAAAAACATCCAATGAATCCGATCGGGCGATTATTGTTTTTTTTTTTTTCAAAAATGGTCCTGAATAAAAAAAATAGTGGAGTGAAAATAAGTATATATATAGGAAATATTTCCGAAATGATTTTGGTTTATTATTTTCAATTATCAACCATTGTGATCGACCAAAAAATTCAAAAACTTAACCCCCTCTCAAAATTTGAGGTTTCACGTTTCAGGATGCGTAGAATTCGAAAAACGAATAAAACCGCCGTCCGCGCATTTTCTCCGAAACTACTAGATCGATTTTCTTATAATTTGGATATAAAATCAGTGGTCACCCGAGGATGATCCTCCTTCATCGACATTACTATCTGCCTTTTACTTTCAAAATGGTGGCCGAAAAACCTGCGTTGCTGTAGACTATAGAGCCTAAACGAATGTACCGATTCAACTTCGCTAAAGTCATGTTCTCTACGCCTTTTAAATGTATTTATATAACATACTTCAACGAAAAGAAGCTGGAAAAAAAGTTACGAGGGATGGTAAAATTAAATTTATATATATATATATATATATATATATATATATATATATATATATATAGAGAGAGAGAGAGAGAGAGAGAGATTTGTGAATACATTTCTATATTCAACCTATAAATGATTATGGATTGTAAGCCTATTAGTTATTAAACCGTTATTTTCCCTTGTAAAGTTTACTAAAATGACATAACAAGATTTTCGTTGCTATAGGTCAAAAGTTGTCACACTAATTGGAAGTGGATAATATTGGGATTACGCAAAGGGAAAATTCATCAAATTATGACTAATTTAATTTTCTAAAAAGTTACATGACGATTTTTTCGTATTAAACGGACGTTAGATACTTAATTATTTAAATATAATATCAGATCTAGAATTATTAAACTACAGTAAATTTATTGTAGGGTGCTTATATACATATGCTTTATACATTCATGATATTTTTATTTTTATATTTCACTTCTTTTTTCACACAACTACAATGAAATAGTTTTCTAAACAATGCCATGCCTTAGATAGATATTAAATACTTTTTTTCAACTTGAATTTAAAAAAAAAAATTGCATTTAATTTCCTCAGAAATATGTGATTTACGTTAAATAATATTAATTTTCACAAATTATTATTTATAATTTTTCTTCACTCTCCATTACCTTCAACAGCTTTCTATATTAGATATCATTTTTCAAAAATTCTCTGCTGTCCAATGATATATTATACCTATACTTTCTGACTTGTATTTCCGGAGTTCATTTTCGACCAAAATTAAGATTATCCCTTTTTTTCTCCATTTTTCAATTATAAAATTCTTTCAAAAGTTATGTTTAGCATTTTTTTCTTAACTTCTAACAATAAAATATAGTTAATTATTTAAAATAAACCAAATTAAAAGTACTTTAGAGGAAGAAATTATGAAAATTGGGCATTTTGATTAAAAACTGAGTTTAATAAAAATCGTCAGAGCCGTTTTTGAGAAATTGTAAAAAATATTTATAACCGTTACCCAAATGCGAGCCGAGATGAGTCTTGGTCTTGCAAACTCCATCTTGGTCCTCGTCTTGGTCTTGCGCAAGAATCTTGCAGTTACTTATTAGCTTATTACTATAGAGATATTGCTGTATTTTTTTAGATAGGAGAAACCTAACTAAGCCCGAATGAAAAATTAGGAGAGTTAAATGCAAAAGTATATTGGTTATACCAATTATTAACATATAGTAACTAAAATTGTCGAGTAATAGTAACTATTTTGCCTTAATTTTTATTAAAAAATTCGATTTTTTTTACCAGTCCTAGTCTTGGTCATGCAACAGTTAGGCAGCCTTGGTCTTGGTCTTGCAAAGAGACCAAGACCGATTTTGGGCAACACTAATTTCAGTTGAAAACTTAGATTCGAAAATTTTCACGATCTCAATACTTTCCCTTACTATACATTACCTTTATAGATAAGTGAAGTAAAAATCAATAACAATTAATCTACATGAATGAATAAAATATGTAAACTCAAATCCATTAAGAAAATAAAAAAAGTCAACAAGATGTCTAAGCTTAGGCCTACAAGTAGATACCTTAGTATTTTACAACACCCTATGTTCCTATTAATGAAATTTAAGTCTATATTTAATTTGAGTTGATAATTATATTTAACAATATATACTGGGATTTTATGATTTGTTCATTTGGAATCTTCCATTTTTACATGATTTTATCATTTTATCACATTTACCACACCAAATTGGAAGTATAAGAAAATAAATTGTTCATTTCACTGCCTCAAAATTTCAAATAAAAATATGTAATAAATTTAATTTCTTTGTTAATATATTTTAAAATATACCCATACGAAAAAAAAAACTAATATATAAATTTATTTCTGTATATAGTATTATATTGTTCGGTTTACATTAATTATTACTCATAGTTTTTATACATAGTATAAACTCTTGATACTTTTTTGGGAGGGAGGACTTACATCACTCTCTCCGACCAGAATGAAATGTATACTGACAAAACCTAATGTTTATCATGTACTATTTTACCACAAATACTTTCTTAATAATGTTGATTTATTTTAAATATTTTGAAGCTTTATTTACAAATGGAAACTATTATTTTGTTAAAAGGATGAAGCTCTTCCTACTAGTGTCTCTGCTTGGATCAGCACTTGCCAGCACGGGAGAATTCTCATACAGTTCCTTCTCCACCGCTCATGGACCGTTAGCCAGGTAAATATAGAAATTACAAATAATTATTACTCAGATTTTATATACATTATTAAAAAAAAATCTATAGTAAGAAAAGATAAACTCTAATAATACCATAATTTTATCAAAACATAGTCTCCATCCTAAGAAAAAAAATCTGGTGCGCGCAACACACAACTTTCACTTACCGATCTACTTTGAATAGAAATTATTTTCTGGCAATGCTGGGCTATTATAAAATTTTTTGAAGTGCATTTTAAATGGAGCTAAAGCTTAAAGCTTACAGATAACAAGTCATTAAGACCATTATAATTACAAAATGTCTATTTAATATATCGACGACAGCCAATAAAAATCAATTCACTATATCTGATTTTATAAACCACAGAATGACTAACTCCAATTTCAACATTTTTGAGTGATGTCATTTTAGTGATATTTTTAGTTGAAAAAGTTATCTATGCAGACAATGAGTAAGTTGATTCCAGAGGTGGTGATTGCAGTGTTGAAATATAGAACTGAGAATAAAAGTATAAATTTAGGTACTACTTTCTCATGAAAGATGCTCTTAGGAAAGACACTTTATTAAATATCTGTAGAAAAAAAGATTTTTTTAGTCTTAACAATTAAAAAAATATATTTCAAATTTAACCAAAATTTCACCTCTTCAGGGAAAATAACTAGAGACCATATGTTTCCTCCTAATTCCATAAACTTTTAAAAAACTATAAACAATATCGACAAAAAAACGTATACTTTTTGAGTTATTCGGAATTTAATTTTAACATCCCTCGTAACTTTTTTTCCATCTTCTTTTCGTTGAAGTATGTTATAGAGATAAATTTAAAGGGTATCGAGAAAATGACTAGCGAAGTTTCATTGAAATCGGTACATTCGTTTAGGCGCTACAGTCTGCAGGAACGCAGATTTTTCTGCATTTTTATTTTTTTCTCCTTTATTAATTTATCGAATTCTTTCAAAAGTTATATGTAGCATTATTTCGTAACTTTGAATAATGCGAAATGGTTAACTTTTTAAAATAAACCATATTAAAGGTACTTTAGAGGTAGACATATATGAACATTGGGCATTTAAGCCCTGTATAGTGACATCGACGGGGATAAGACCTAAATGATATTAAAGACCACTTAATTATACAATGGTACACCGAGTTTGACCAAAATCGTTAGAGTCGTTTTTGAAAAAATTGTAAAAATGTGGTTCAGCGTTCATATAAAGTGGCACTTCCGGTTAGCCGATTTTAACGAAAAAGTTGCTGTAACATCCGGCTTATATACAAACTTTAAATACTTAATATCAGTTTCGTACTACTTTTCGTTTATGAGCTAGACTGTTAACACACACAGACCATTTTGCGATACTTGGTTATTTGAGACCTCAAAACATGTATTTCCGTTGAAAACTGAGATTCGAAAATTTTCACGATCGCAATACTTACCCTTACTATATATTACATATATACGTAAGTGAAAGTAAAAAAAAAAATATAAATACCTATAGATTTTCATGTTATTCAGTACTATGATCAACTAAACTTTTCCTGTACAAAATCCGTATATGACTGGTTCTGAGATATGGGTGTAAAACATGGACATTGATGAAGGCCAATGTGAAAAAAATATTGTTTTGAAAGGAAGGTTCAAGAAGATACAGGAAATAATTAATGGAGAATAAGACATAACTAAGAACAAGCCAACTTTTACAAGGAACTGGATGTGATGAAATAAATCTCAGATGCTGAGATGGCACATTGTACGGATCGATGGAGAAGCTGGTCAGCATGAAGCCGGATGGAAAAAGAAAAGTGGGAAGATCGAAGCTGAGATTAAGTTCATGTCGATGCCAGAATTCTTAGTATAAGTAACTGGAGGAAAGCTAGTCAGGTTAAAAAAGCTATCCAAGATTCAGTATTGGATTGTAGAGCTTAGGATGATAAATTTTGATGTATCTAATTAAATAAAAAATAAATAAATAAATTTAAGTCATATTGAATATTTAATAGTTGACCGTTGCATTATAAAGGAAGGAGATGGTCCAGGGTGGCGGTCATAAATAGGGGCAAAACTATTCTATTAAAAGCCAACTTTTCGACCCGACTTTGCAGGTCTTCTTCAGAGAGCTGTGTTCAGCTAGGAGTTTCACTCAGTTCTAAGTGGAACTCCTAGCTGAACACACCTCCCTGAAGAAGACCTACAAAGTCGGGTCGAAACATTGGCTTTTAAAAAAAAAATAGTTTCACCACTATTTAACCTATTTATGACCGCCACCTTGGACCATCTCCTTCCTAAATAAATTTAAGCTATTGAAGAACAAATGTTACTAAATATTCGAAAGTAAAATAGCAGAGAAATGTTTAATCAAAGAAACTTTAACAATTTAAAACGGAGTTATGGAAGAATAAGTAGCAATGTATTTAGGATATGTATTTTCAATATCCAGGAATCATATCAAAGATGGACATCTGCAATTTTAAAAAAATTGAGAAAAAGTGAATTTTTGAAACACAACCTCAATTTCAATCAATTCTAATGAATTACTTTCTTGGTTCAACTAGACAATTATTAAATAAAACCATCAGAAACAGTTTGAGTTGAACCTATAAAACGAAATTGACAGATGTTCTTCTGTAATATGAAGCCAATCAATTTTTGTATATAATATTTTAATAGGAATGTACAAAAATGGTTTTAAATTATCTATAATATTTATCTTATTAAATAAAAATAAAACCTAGAATAACTTACAAATTTATGGATAAAGTTATGTATCATAATAAAAGTAAATTAATTAAATAACACTTGAGGATATTAAAGAGGGAATACATGAATTCATACAAAAAAATTGAGCATGATTTTTGAGAGGTGGAAGCTATTTTCCTACAATTTACAACTAAGCATAATGTATTAGTATTGCTTAGATCATTTTTTAATTGATGACTTTTAATATTTTGTTATAGGAGCGCTCTAGCTTATGGAGGCTATGGATCATCTTCACTGACTGAAGTTTCTGGTTATTCCGCATCTGCTCCAGTTTACGCAGCTTCTCCAGTGACAGCATATGCAGCCCATGCTCCAGTAGCAGCTTACGCAGCCCATTCTCCAGTGACAGCATATGCTGCCCATGGCCCAGCCTATGCCACCTATGCTTCTGCTCCAGCAGCCACTTATGCAGCCCATGCTCCAGTAGCAGCTTATGCAGCCCATGCTCCAGTGACAGCATATGCTGCCCATGCCCCAGCCTATGCCACTTATGCTGCCGCTCCAGCAGCCACCTACGCAGTAGCTACTGCTCCAGCTTCCGCAGTTGTACCTGTTACCAGAGTATCTGCTCAACCTGCTGTTGTACAGAATGTTGTCGATGTAGCACAGCCTAAGTTAGCTACCAGGCGTTTTGAGATTCGTCGCCCTGCAATCGAAAAACAGTTTTATGATGTCGAAGAACGTGTTGTAGTACGCCCAGCAGGTTCTGCAGTTGTCGAACTTGAGACACCCGTTGGTGCTGATCAGCGTGGACCAACCAAGGTGTGTAACAAATATATTAGCTTTTGTATTTTTATGTTTATAAAATAGAGTAGAGAGAGGTTTAAGATTGTCCTGCTTATCAGCCATATATGTCACAGTAACGTGGACTCAGTCCACATCATCAGTCTCCACCACACCTTCCATATACACTGTTATTTCACGTTTTTAGAAAAATATGAATCCTTTTTTCTGCTTTATAGTTTAATCTCAATTTTATTCATATGTTATTTATCGCTTGAATTCTATTGTAGTTCAAATTCATGCGAATAGACCCAGTTTTTAATATTATTATAGGGCCATCTGCAGCTTCAACTGCCAGTCTGAGAAGTGCAGCTGTCTTTCAATCATGGACTTCAAGGATACCTCGAGCGTCTACTTCTACTCCATCAGCCCATCTAAGTTTTGGTCTTCTTACCCACCTTGTGTAAAATTGCTCCTCTAATAATTTTCTCAATATTTCATCTGCAGGCATCCGGTGAACGTGTCCAACTTTTAATCTGCCAATCCTTATTATTCTGAAAACATCAACACCTCGATATATCTCTTGCTGCTTATCGTTCATTTGCATTCTCCTTTCCTGGTTGTCATTGCGTATTAGGCCAAATATTCTTTTGGAATTGGAAAAGGGCTGCTTCTTGGGTTCTTGCAATGACCAACATTCCGAACTATATTTCAAGACTGGCCTAATTAAGGTTTTATGTATGAGCAACTTGATTCAGCGTGCCATTGCTTGGATTTTTAGGTGTTTTCGATGGCTATATTTGCAGTTTATAAAATATCACTTTATTGAAAATTTAATAGCTTAATTGCTTTTAGATCAATTTAATTTTATAATAATAAATCACTGTATTTTTCAGATAACTCCAGCTGCTCCTCCAGTAGCCCTTCGCTCTTACAGTTCAGCTCACCTCGCCACCCACTTCACCCCAGCTGTTCTCCCAGCATCACCTGTTGCTGTTTCTGCCATCCATCACCATCCCCAAGTGATTGAACAGAGTCATGAAATCCAACAATACCCTCAGCAACAAGAACAAGTTCAGCAAATCGAATCTGAACAACAGATTTCTGAGCAATCCGAGTCCGTACAACAAATTCCACAACAACAACCAATTCCTCAACCAAGCTTACCACAACAAGATGCACCTCAACAGCAATTTGATGATTCCGATTCAGTTTCCATTGAGAATCCTGAGTTTTCAGCCAGAAGTGGATCAGTCTCTTCTTCTTCCTCTGGAAGTACACCATCTCCTTTGTTCAGAGCTCAATTAGCAGCATTCCCTAGGGCTGAAGCACCTCTTCCTCAATTTTCAAGGGAACAGCTATTCGAACAGTCTAATTCTCAAGGTTTGCCTTCTTTTTCAAGGAGTAGAGTATCACAGTATCTGCAGCCAGAACCCCTGCCGATCCCACAGCAGAGGAGTGAATTGTCACAATCAACGCTAAGACCTGAATACGTTTCATCCCGTCAACAACAAGAATTTTCATTTGCCAGCAATCAGTTTCAAGTATCTAATTCCAGAGCTGGAGCATCTTTCAGACAAGGTGCAACTTCCCAACGACTGTTGGAAGGTGATGTAGAAGTCAATTCCTATGGTTCCGATAGAATAATTCCTTCTGCAAGGCACCTCTCCCCTGAACAAAGTCAAGCCAATCAGGCACGTCTCATCGATCTGCTTACTGCCCGAGGACCTGTGTCAGAAGTTAGGTCTCCTTCTGAGCCAATCCGTGGTCGTGTTATTTCTGCCACCCCAGCTCCTCCAGGTGCTGAGCCTGCCGATGAAAGGGTGAACACAAGGAGGATCGTAGTGAACCGTCCAATACAGACAGTTCAAGAAGTGGACGTTGTCGAACCTTTCACTAAATTGGAAAGGGTAGCAGTTCATCAACCTGCTCTTGTAAAGACAGCACATGTTGAACTTGCACATGTTCCTGCTGCTGTACATACAGCTGTCCCCGTTGCTGTCACTGCTGCTCCTTACTACCACAAGTAAATTGGTTCACAACGTTTCTCAACAATATCTGTGATTCACTTAAGCTTCAAGCATTAATTAAATTTGTCAAAAAATACCAAGAAGAAAAGCAATACAGGCAAATACATATAATGAAATAATGATAAAATACAGTATTACTGAATGTAAAAAGAAATTCAGCCATGTTAGAAAATGAAATAAAACAGACAGACAATATAAAGTATTTTTATTTATATTTTGTCAAGTGATAGGAATCTTTATCTACATTTAGAAACATGAATTTTATTTATTTATTATTTTTTTAATTATAGTGAAGTAAACAAACCAGTATTTAAAATGTAATTAGATAAAATCAAAGGTTACCAAGTCATGTAAATTTGTGTTTTTGAACTTATCTAGTAATAAATATTTCATTTATGATATAATGTAACCAGAATGTTCTCATCAATAAAAACAATTTTTAAACAAATATTGTTGTATCATTAAATAAATAAACCCAAAAAATATTATTTAAATTATTTATTTATAAATTTCACCCTTTCATGTCACTATGGCAATACAGGTGTTTGCAATAGTGTGCTATTAGGTATTAATGCCTAATAACACACTATTATTAGTTAACTGAGCAAGGATGTGCACATAGCTAGCAGTTCTTCCTTCTTGTTTTCGTTTTCGGCCTAGCTTCCAGAATTAGTAAGTCTCCCTGGCGCTTGTCCTCTTCTTCTGTGGGCACCAATACGGAAGTGAGCGGGTCCCATGCCGTCTTCCATCCATTTATGAAATCCTTAAACTGAAATTTTCCTCACTGACTAACTGAGAAAACTCATTTTCAGTGAGGACACAGATTACCGCAGCTCTTGTCATAGTCGATCTTAACGTTTCAAATGTGGTGCAGGTCGTGACCACGTGCTCTATAATTTCCGGAACACTACAGGTCGGGCATAGAGGATCTAAACCAATGCCCAGACCATGAAGTTTAGCTCAAAATCCTCCATGCCCAGTGAACTGGGAAATCCAGTAGTTCGGGAGGACCCACTTTGCCTGAAGCCTCGACTGTACCTTGGAAAAGTATTTCCTCCATGATTCAATTGAGTCCTTTTGGAGTATCTTCTTCCATCTATTAGGCGCATCCATATTGCTCATCTGCAGATTGTCCGAAAGTACTGTAGAGCCTTCCCTCTTATAAAAATATTTCGTCACTTCTTCTAGCAGGAGGAGGACGAGATATTATATTATAATATTACTTACATAATATTACTTATTAATATTACAAAACTGTATAACAAATCCTGTTTTTTTTTTTTCTCTCACTCTCAAAAATCAAAGTCCCATAGTGCCCGGTTCTGGATATTGTGAGTTTGATTCCCACATGGTTCGATTTATTTTTATTACCTGGCAGTCTCTGGAAATGGATTTTGATATCTCACTATTTTTTTTGGTCCTCCCCTTCCTTGCCGTTAAGGCTATACAGCGTTTTCCCGGGTCAGGGGATGCGGGCGGGGATTTATAAGACTCCCTCGGGGGCACCAGGACGCGAACTTGTGACTGCTTCTTTTATAATTTGAGTCATATTTCAGGTTGCGGGGTAGTGCACACACGTTAGTCCATTCGGCTACCCCCGCCCAAAAAGGTGATATGGTGGAACCAGTCTTGATCGGGAACCTTCATGTCAGAATAATACGCTAGCCACTACACTATGAGAGTGATTAATTGATAAGTGAGAGAGTGATATCCCACTCTGGTAAGTACGCATTGGCAACCTCAAGGTAGCCATCAGGAATTGGCAAAAAGGACCACGTGGCCCACTTGCCGGACAAGACCAGAAACTGAGCCGTGATTTGAAATTATTTTATTAAATTACTTAAAATGCGGAAAAAATACAATACTTATATTGTGGCAAGGTGGTATAATTTTGTAAAAAAAAAAAAAAAAATAAATAAATAAAATAACAGCTAATCAGAATACAATTAAATGAAGATAAAATTAAATACTTAATACTAAGCAGAAGAAATAATTCCGACAGAATCTGGGTAGAAGGAAAATCATTTATGAGAGTAGACAGATTAAAATACCTCAAATTACATTAACCTCAATAAATGACCAATAGTTATAAATAAATAGACCAGCCTATGACAAGAGTGACCAGAGATTTCTTCTCTCTTCAAAAGATGTTGAAATTCTGAAAAATCTGTAGAAATATCAAATTAAATGTACTATGCTACGATAAGCCAGTCCTGATATACGGTTGTGAAACATGGGCAATAACCAGAATCTTCGAAAAAAATATTGAAAGATTTGAGAGGTAAACTATCAGCATGATGGATTAATCCGGGATCAGACAGATTTGTGAATTTCAGTCATATTTAACTCCCATGAATTATGAATGAACTAATTATGAATGAACTCTTATGAAAACTCTCATTAAGAACACCAAAATGACACAAACTATATTTATTATGTAAATTGTAGGCAATGAAAACCTTCAATCTCCATTAATCTATTTAAACAACATAAGCTCAGTCTCTGAACTCTTTATACAAAAAGAGATTTAAAAGTGTGCGCGCATGTCTACACATACAAAAACGAGATCAAGTATATAAATTATATTAGTAAAGATTGTTCAACATACTAAAATGACAGGAACTAAATCTGTATCACTTAATACATGTTTTTAAACTTATATTTTTCCCTTGTAAAATTGACCAAACTGGAGCAATAAGGTTTGCATAGAATAAATAAAATAAGTGCGATAGAGAAGTGCCTTTTGAATGGCACCAATTTTTTTCCAACTTTCTGCCAATTTTTATTATTTATAACAAATATTTTTTTCCCACCTTTACATGCTACCCCATACTTCCACGTATGTACCTCTATATATAGCACTTAAGGATTTAATACAAAATAAACATCAGTTATGGCTAAAAATTGAAAATTTCACATAATCGTTAATTTTAAATATTGTTCCAGAAGAAGTTAGTCGAGGGTGAGGTCAAAAATACTATATTATGTAATAGTATATTAATTACATTGTCCAAAGTTGTATGTCTTCTTCAGGGCTATATAAGATACAAACAATATGTTTTAGTAATCTATCAATATAAATAAAATAAAGATTTTGTCTGTACATTGAATAGAATCAACCCGTTTTATATCTTTCCGTTTCATATATTGCAAGCACTAAATCCACTTTTAAAAAAAATTTTGTCTGTCTGTATGTCCGCATTGCAACAAAATTTTGTCAGGGGTAAGCTCAGCAATGGCTTATTGCAGACTTTTGAAATTTTGATATTATATTAAGGTTTGCTTGACTTACAACATAGGCTTTAAATTAAAACAAACTATTGAGTAGAACAAAAGTTATGAATTCTTGAGTAATTTGACTAGAGATCTCGGTTAATGTTGATAATAAATTTTAATAATAAACATATGTTTATAGGTTAAAGAACATCTATATAAATAAAATAAAGGTTTCGTCTGTACATTGAATAGAATCAACCCGTTTCAAGATATCTTTCCGTTTTATACATTAGAGACACCAAATCCACTTTAAAATTTTTTTTTTTTTCTGTCTGGGTGTCTGGATTGTCCAACAAAATTATGTCAGGAGTAAGCTCGGTAATGGTTAATGGTAGACTTTTGAAATTTTGACATTACCTTTAGGTTTCCTTGACTTAAAATATGCGCTTTTAATGAAAACAAAATATTGAGCAGAAACAAAGTTATGAATTCTTGAGTAATTTGTTTAGAAATCCTGGTTAGAAAGTTACTTTGATTCTAATCTCAATCTAATTTTCTCAAGATCAAGTTCTAATTTTACACGGATGTAGGTGATTCAATGTCCAATATTATTTTTGTTATTTTCCCCGCAATAAACTCAGGAGAGTTTAAAGAAATGGTGGTACTACAACTCTTTTTGATTAATGAATCAACTCCACAATCTCCTCGCTTCATCATAAATGAAAATTAAACATTAAACAAATTTTAATGGATCAGTGGTGGTCGGTTTAGTTGAGTGGTACCTAAACAAACAGCCGAATAAAATAGTTTTTGTTATGACTATTGCGACACCTTGACTTCCATAAGCCCCGCCATAAAAAATTTCAAAACAACCCCCTTTCCTCTCCCGACCCAATTTTATGAAATTGAATTTGGACCCTCCTCTCCCCATAATACAAAATCCATCTCAAAAAAAGATTCTCAAATTTTAACTATACACCCGTCAACGACAGGTACATCAGCTAGCTATATGTAAACAATAAATATTATTTATAGAAAGTTACAGTCTATGTAGATGACTATTGACATTAAATTTGGAAAGGTAATGGATTACAAGGATATCTGGAATATATTGAGGGTAACACGTGGTAGTTATATTAAGAATAAAAATAATAATAAAAGTCAAAACATACCGTTCGATCTGATAATGCTGATGGCAGTATGGTGATTGGCTGTCTGATGTCGGTTGGGTAACAGAAAACTGACAGGTAGAAAGGGACCAGAGGGTTGTAAAATTAGTTGTTTATTGCCGAAAAAGTGTAAAATGTCATTATTCCTAAAGTGGTAGTTGTATGCATTGGTCTATGTAATTGGTTAAATTATCAAATATATCTAAAAAAGGTGGGAATTGACATGTATTTGTAAATGTCAATTTACAAATCCATGTCCAATCAACCATCTCCATACCATTTTAAATATTGTTGAAAGAAATGAGTTTCCAAACTCTTAAAAAAAAAGTGCGATATCAGAGCTATTAGTCTTGCTTCAGACAATAGTTAAAAAGTCAAACTATAAAATAAAATGGTGAAGAAATTGTTGACTGTAGATGGTTGGGAGTTGTAGTAAGAGAAACCATACAAATAAAAATAAAGGAATTTTATTTTACTTTATTTTGTGTCAATATTTCAGCCTAAGTTCATGCCTTCACCAGGGCTGAGGAAAGATAAGATAAGAACCCAGGAAGATATCACCTTAAGTTGATACCAAATAAAATAAAAGTCTTTTATTTTTATTTCTATGTCCTTACTGACTATAATTTATAACCAACTTCCCAACAATATAAAATAAAATACAAGTCCATATTAAACAATAATCGGAGAAGGTAGTACCGAGTTCCGTAATTGACAAGCATTATAAAATATGTGATTAAAATGGAACATGGTTATTCACATTGTTTAAACCAGATATAAGATAATAGAATAATATAATAGAATGATTTCAAATTATGAAGTTTTGAGAAATTGAAAATGAGCAAACTGCTTAAAACGTCGTGAAATATTACATAAACTGTGAAACAATAACGGCTTATATATATCCTTGGAGACAGAATTTGTAAATACAAGTATAATAAATAAATTAAAACGTTGAAATTGTAAACAGATATACACTTATACATCTTGTTTATATCTTTACTTCCTTGGACTAAAAAATGAAA